CACTTGTAACGATACATATCCAAGTAAGTATTATGACAAATTGCAACTCCATATTCCTAACAGTTTTCTTTTCGTAGGTTTTGATTTGCACCATGGAGTTGCTTAAATACAAATCAGTTATCGAGTATTTTTTCTGAAAGGGCTACACAACGTGTAGAACAAAGGGGGGATAATGCACTGTCATACGACTGTTAAAACCGAGCACCCTTAGTTTAAACGTGGTAGGACTACAATGACGACAACTTCCAGTTTTAGTTTTCTCTTTTTGTTATTGATGAGGGCACCATTCAGAAAGTGGAGCCCGCCATTCTGTTCACCGAATAGGTAAATGTCATGATGAGTATGGGGTCTTTGAAAAAGATTATCCGTATTTTTGCGCATGGGGTTCTATGACTGTCCACACTTTTCCATGAGCAAGAATGTGTCTCAGAGTCTCGGAACCATTTTACTTCGTCATAAAAACTAGGATAAATTTTTCATAAAACTTATTGCACATGATTAAACATGTGTACATCGCTATGATCCAGAGACCATAGTGCAGTCAAAACGACGGAAACATGTTTATCACCTCCAATCTTCAACCAAAAAGGTCATACTTACAGTCCTCTGAGACTGGCATGGAGTAATAATGACGTATTTTCAGTACTACCGGAGCACACTATGCTTCACCACTTCATCAGTTTGGGATGGCTATCAAGCAAGAGAGGCGTGGCACGCTCTTCAGAGATGTCCTGTTCCTCCATAACAGTGCTCCTGCTCATAACGCCGAAGTCGCACAGACTGACGCGCGTTCCCGTGGCTATGAAATATGTCCTTATCCTCCATACTCCTTAGCTCTTAAACAATCTGACATTTACCTCTTTCCAAGATGAAGTCATTTCTGAAGGGAAAACATATTCCTGACGATTAGACTCTGATTTCTGTGGTCAGGTCATGGCTTTTGGCATAATATCGGGACTACTAAACTCGTAGTCTATTCAACTGCATAAAACAATGGGATAAATATATACATCTGTGCGGTACCTATAAAGAGAATAACTGATATATATGCAAGTTTCGCTGTTTTCGGTGCACGGGAAGTTGGTCATGGGAAATCTTTATTGAACGGCCCATAACTCTGGCCAACACCGGTCCTCCTGCTGCCCGTTTCCCCTATCGGACGGACTAACCTCCGAGGAGCAGTGACTGTTTCCATCTACGTCGCACGATGTGTTCACAAGGATTCAGGTCGGCACACAGTTTTGTTTTGAGATCCGGTAGTTTCATTACGTTCGTTCCCAGCCGGAATGTGTCGACGAGCATCCAGAACTTCCAGAAACCCAAATTTCTGGTTGGTAACCAGAGTTAGCACAGGAAGATATATCTGCTGCACTTGCGCCTAGTTATCCCCATCTGTGTCTTCTGAACGCTTGCCCAACACGAATGCCAGCATAGCTTAATGGGCATTCAGAACATCTGGCTTAACCAGTTTTCGGGTAGCTATGCGCTCACAGCGTCGTCGCAGACCTCGACCGATACGCACCCGAAATTAGCACGTATGAGTGCGTTGTCAGAGCCCACGCTTGTGCTCCAAATCGATAGACCGTTTCGGACGTAGCCCCTCCAGCGGTAACCGATCGCGTATGTGATCACTTTGCCTTTATTGCTAGTCCGAGTCTGGTGGTCGTCATGTCACCCTCCTGCGGGTATTGTGCCGCAAGTTATTGCTCGAGAGAAATTGCAGAGGTGTGTGTGTTTGAAAACAGGGGGATAGAAGTGTAGTTGGGTCGGGACGATAGGGTTGAGAACCGTAAGAGGAGGAATAAGAAGACAAAAAGTCATGAACAGTGGCATCCTCACCCTTACTCACTTTGCGCGTCGCAGCAGATAGGGCGCCGTCGATTATCCTCTGCGGCGGCTAACGCACCAAGACATTGTTTATAGTTGACTTTATTGTACTGCTTGGGCAGATTACTGTCGAATTGCTCATGCCTATACAGGAGAATCATTGGGGTTCTTAATCAAAGCCTTACGTTCAAAATCTGACCACAATGAAGCAGGTGTTTGGCAGTGGGCTACAAAGCGTCCGTTTTGTGGAATATTGAGCCACCCTCACTCCAGCTCCCAACCTGTCCGCCCCTTAGCCTTAAAGATCACAAGCCTGCCTTGTAATCCGATGCTGCGGGTTCGAGCTTGTTTAGGGACTGGGCGACTCTCGCAATATCTTTAGCCCGCGTACGACAGATGGTGATTGCGCGACAGCGAAGCATCAGTACTGCCTACCGGCGTAGTTCTGATGCCTTTTTTCAACCCCCAACCTGGAGGTTTAGGGGACTGAGTTCTTCTGGTCTATAACCATCGACCAATCAAGTATGAATGCCACTGAGGGTGCAGAAAGCACCACCCCGCATAGCTCAATGAGTTGTTGAGGCACAGGAGCCGTCGCATCACGTCAAAATCTAATCTCTGCTACGGTTTTATTCTCCTGTCTTATAGGATGACATTCATCCTCCAAACATGTGCGGGTCAAATTCAAAATTACTTTTTTCTTCTGAAGCGTGGCATCATAACTTGCATTGGCTTCTTCCCGCTACTGTTGCTAAAAAAGATACCGATGACTATTTGATGGTTCGTTTAGCCACTCTATCCGGCATTGTCCACTCCAGAGAGAAAGCACCCTCAGGATGGCTTTTCCACTCTCGCTCCCATCTTGGCAAAGTTGCAAAGGATATATTGGTACGTAATATTTTGGAACATATTTGGAACCGATCGGGAAGTCATCATTTCAGAAAACTTGGTAAACGACCGGTTAATGTATTTATCACCATAAATACATTAACCGGTCGTCTACCAAGTTTTCTGAAATGTATTGGTACGGTTTTTAGACCTTAGTTACACCTACATGGACTCCCAACTGCTACTATGCATCGGTCTTGAGCGGCTGATTGTTACTGGCGGTGCCAAGCTGCCGTTGTGAGCCTCATAGTTTCAAAAAACGTAGTACTACTGCACGACAGACCGCACCGGTATTCCACCGGTGTTCACCGAACATCCACCGCGAGTAATTTTAAATGCCAAGGAACTCAGTTAACTGTCCCTCGTTGATCTATCTATTAATTTACTTCTCCTGAGCAAAGGCAGTGGTGTCTGCAACATTCCGTTACGGCGTACCGGCGCTTCACTGCTATGCCATCATCACCAAACGCGCGCACGTTAGAGGCACTGCGAGGTCTCTGGTGCCTATGCAGATTCGAACCGGTGGTCTTTGAATTAGGAGAAAGTCGCTTTATGACATCCGGCTTCTCCATTAGGATTTGTTACTTTTCAAGCTGTTGGCCACTTATTGAACCAATGGCGTCTCAGTGTATTTGCCAGAGTGAGGATGCACTTCCGGCAACAGACTCGTTTTCGCTTGTGCTTCAGGCATTCAGTCACTGGGCGGTTACTTATCCTCTACCATAGGTGGTCATTCAATCGCTCTCTCAGAATTGGCACTGAAGAGTATTTATCCACCTACAAGACACCGTCTCTAGCAATCTCTTTCATCTTATTTTCTCGAATTCACTTATGTTCACCAGCAGGAGACCGCCAACATCGTAAGCCATACTGACATCACCTTTCAAACCTTACTACGGATAGCCGTACGTGTTTTCAAACTACGTCCGCCTGGTGCTCACATCTCAACGAAGCTTGGTTTCCGTCTGCACCACCGCCCAGTCAATCTCTTGCCCTGCCTAAGGAGTTAATTATGCTACAAAAGCGAGTATGTGTGGCATTGTTTTCGTCTTTGGCTAACTTAATAGGAACGCTTTTGATTCACGCCAGTCTTTTTCTCTGTTCCGTGGAGTAGTCCTTGGTTTCACTTTCGTTCTTATGGTATGGGGTTATTCTTTTTAACGGTTGACTTATCCTTCACTCAACGTTCGTGAATCGGCTACTCTGCGGGCCAGAAACAATTGCGAAATGACCGTTTATTCCGTCGAATTGGAGCGATGTATCTTAAAGCCCTATTCTACCCAGGGTCCTTCACTATCCACACACTATGGTAGATCGGCCAACAGTTAACTCTCGCAATTACTTTACACTCTCTCGGAATTGCTATGTCCATCTGTCCACTCACAAATCCATCCATTCAAAGCGGCTGATTCCACCGCAGATCTTGGAGGCTAAACCGATCCGTTTAACGTTTCCTCATTTGTGAGATACCTGGCTGTATAATGCTGTCGGTGGTTCCTATTCCCGCATCCTCTGACCTTGCTGATTGAGTTCCTTTCTTGATGTATTCGGTATCCAGCCTCCTCAGTTTCTGTTGCAAACAAGAGTGCGCAGGTGTGTGCGAACTAACGACACAGCGCAATGTTATCCTCTCGAATTATCGCGGAAAAGCAGTCACATGTGGACACATCTTATTGTCCTAGAATACGATCGCGAGATCGAAGTAATAGACCATTAGGATTCCTGCCTTTCCACTTTCGATATCTTTCTTGCATTTGCCTCGATGCTTGTAACTTTTTCCCCTGCAATAGCCACGTCCACCGCCGTTCCAAGACCTTACTGATTTATTCCTTTTTCCTGTTTTCCATCCATCCTCTTATCATCATGATGATATTGGCTTTCGCAAATCCATTCACCTCGCATCAGTGCTCTAGTCGGGATTGATAAGTTGGGCTTAATTTTGCGACGTCGCTGTTCCATAGTCATCGTGCTGTATACCACCTCCTATGATATTCTTACGATTTTCGACACCGTTGTTCGAGTTCCCTGCTACATGGACATGGATACAGTTTCCAACTCACCTTCATTTTCTTTTGTTTGTCTTTGGTTTGGCACTTTCGTACACGCCATGAATCGCTGACGAACCCCTTGTTGGTTGGCCAAGGTACACATCTTTCACAGATTGAACCTGTTTTAAAGCTAAATTTTGAGTAACATTCAATGTCCTCCCGTCTTTGTTTACTATTCAAAATTATCTTTACATGAACTTTGAATTGGTCTACTTGCCGCTGTTATCTGTCAACAAGGGGTTCTCCGAAGACCTGGTACGGTGTTCCGACTGCAGCGGCTGACACCTTCGAAGCTGCAATGCGTGCTGAGATTCCAGAACTATTTGAAACGTCCCCCGATCTGCTGCACCACATGACAACTATGGTATCACCCACTGTTCTGATTAATCGTGGAGTACCAGTCTATCGACTCGACCAGTTGGCCGGGGAATTTGTCATCACTTTCCCTCGTGCTTATCACGCCGGTTTTAACCAGGGTTTCAACTTTGCTGAAGCCGTGAACTTCTGCCCTGCCGATTGGGTATGTCCACTCTCTCTATTCACACTGGTATCCGAGGTTTTTATTTAGTGTTCTTGTATAGTAACCGTTTGAGGCATATAAGTGGTCGAAATCGTTATTCCGCTGTTGCCACGTAGCGAAGGTTTCCGTAACCGCTTTGAACTCACTTTCTTGCATAGTCTTGTTTGTAAGTTGTCTGCGCTATCTTGGCTGTTTATTTGCTCTTTCTAGATTCTCTCCATCAGCGATTCACTAGGTTCTTTTCTGACGTTTCTCGTGTTTTAGAGACTCCATCCCGTTTACTACACACTTGACGCAGATTATTGCTTGCTATTGAGCTTGTTGAACGCAGTGACACCACCGTTTCCTTACCGATAAACGTGTAGTTTTATTTTTACATAACATACCGTGTTTGACCTCTTTTTCTCTTCCCTCTATAGCTTCGAAGTCGCATTGTTTAGATTGAAAACTAAGATCTCTCGGTTATTGGTACAACGTTCGGCGCATGGCATTGATACACATTGAATTGATGTAGAAACGAACACTACACTATGTCTGCATTGGGACTCCCCTTGATCCGTGATTACATTTGCTACTAGTTTTGTACTCTTTATTTCCCTAATGTCCGCCATTTGCGTCCATGTAAAGTAGTTCCCAATCACAAACGTGTTTTTCGTATTTTCCGGTCACAGTTTCATGATTTCTCATTGACCCCATTACATATCGCCACATTTGATGGATTTGCACGTAACTCACACGTTTTTTTTGCTGGTTTTAAATGTATTTGGGCAACAAGACGTATATTTGTCGTCATTTGTCTTTGCACCTCATGTTGGATTCCATTAAATCACTTCTCTTTTTCCTCCTTTCAGTTTGATATGGGGCAGTCCTGTATTGAGTACTATGCCATCTCTCACCGCGCACCCGTGTTCTCTCACGCGGAACTTCTATGTCGAATGGCTCAGTCCAACGAACCTTTAAGTGTGGAGTTTCTAGTGGTGGTGATCAAACAATTGAAGGAACTGTTGACTACTGAGCGTAGTCTGCGTCGGCTTTTGGCTCGGGTTGGCGTACGCCGTACGGAGAGAGTAGTTTTTGAGGAAACCGAAGACGATAAAAGGGAGTGTGATCTTTGCCACACTTTACTGTATCTCTCTGCCCTCGCTTGCAGATGCTCATCAAGTAAGCAGCGGCTGTTTCTGTGAGATCAATGACTTAGCCATCAACCATGGTTTTTGCTCTTTTTAGCATTTTTTTTCATTTTCTTTGACCGGTACCTTCTTAAACAACCGCTCGAGATGTATGAAGTTGGACTTTGAGCGCATTGCAGGTAACTTTAGCCCAGGGTGCTAACAATCAAATAGCATATTTCGATCGTTTTACTTATCTATCTTTTAGCTTCACTCTGTTACCAAATCCGGATATTCTGATCGGTATTCCGCTTCCGAGCATCCAGTCGCAACTGGCCGTCGGTGCACTTTTCGACACAATCTTCAGCGTCTTACTCTCAATAGCTACAAACTGAGCAATTCTAGCACCCTGTGTAGCATGAGCGACTGGCAATTAGTGAAATATAAAGCGAATGCCATTATGCCAACAAATGACCTATAACTTACTTGTGAATGGAAGGATTTTGGTGAGTATTTTTGTTCATCGCAATCAGCCGACAATTCAGATATGTCGACCAGCTGTCCGGAAAAGCACCAGAAGGCCGTTTCGCCCTATTGGGGCTCATCAGTGGTGCGCATCCTTCGGTCCTCTGCGGAGGATCGAACCCATGACTGCTAGTGGCTCTTGCCAACTAGCCCGCAGCTTATGCAACTGCGCCATGGAGGACGGTATCTGACTATCGTGAATTGTTAGCTAAATGCGATATAGCCCGACGCATCCTCCACTGCCATGCAGGCACCTGCCATGCAGATGACAGCGGTCGGCCTTCCCGCGTCAGGACTTCTCGGTTACGGCAGCTATGAATCGACATAGCATTTTGTGGAATCCGTACGGGCGAATTGGTATTACTTGTTCACCAGCGCAAGTTGTTGTCTTCGCGATAGATGAAGTTGGCAGATGCATTGCATCTAGAGACATCTAGACATCTAGAGAACTGATCATGTACCGTTATGAGAAAAGCTCTCATTTCAGAATGTTGAGTATATAGTTCCCTAGCTGTTATGGAAAGACAGCGTCATACACTGTAGAGGATATACTTTGTTCACTCAATCATCACAAGAAAACTTAGTGAGTCTTCCGATGTAATCAGGATAGCCTAGAGATTTGTCGACAGTTCTGCGTGCTATAAAGCGGGACTGCACTCACCGAGTTAATCGTTTATGAGAGCGTTCACAACCGAATATCACTTTATCTCTCTCAGGACTGCATGGATTACATCCTCTATATAATGGTGCACTTGTCAAAGGCAGCAGCGGAACAGCCTTTCATCAACTGACCCCCACGTTGTTATCTTCTTCCTTGTTAGTAAACCGAAGATGTTTTATGCAAAAAACATACGCTGTCCAATTTTATTTGAAATTGTCCAGTTTGATTCGAAAATAATTTGTATTACTATGTGACACTTATCAGTTGGCCATGAATGAGCTCACAAGAGTTGTTCCACCATTTGCCATGAACTTCACATCTGCCCAATACAAGTCACTGTTACCGGAACAGCCACGAAGCAAGGTGTTCAGTTCGTGGTACGTGTCCTTTGAAGCATCTGAGCAGTAGTCGGTGGGTGCATAAACGGAGACTACAGCGTTTAGCGCTACCTCGTGAATCAACCTTAATTGATGTCTTCAAACGGGGTGTTCACGGAATCCAATCAACCAGCGCTGACCCCACCTTAGAGCTGAGAACGTAGCCGCATTGACCTCTCCGCATGTGTGAACAATAATGAATGGTCAAACCAGGCGCAGTTAGTTCAACAAGCACGTGTGGGTCATTGATCCTAGTTTCAGTCACACGGCACACGTCGATACCCAGGGTGCCCAGCGTGCGTGCGATTGCAACCTGTTGATCCATTTGTCTTTAAATACGAACTTTGAACGCCGTGATGAAAACGAGACATAATCATCATCAACACACGTTAGCCGAGGGTGGGTAACACACCTCAGCTAATGTGCCGCAATACGAAAATGGTAAGACAGTAAGCAATGTAGACTTACAAGCTATAACAAAGTAACATTATGCTAATATCACATTTTTAATGGTTGTTGGAGGGAAAAGCTAAAGGGAAGAGGAGGGACAACGAGACTCACAACACAAATGCCACTGTGATCGATTCTTCGCTATGTCAGCTATTGTATCCAACCAGAAGTGTTCAATATCCTTCGGTCCCCAGCCAGGCAGTCGGGAAACACCAATCGACGCCAAATTCGGTGATGGATTTTATTCCTCTTGACCAAGTCATCGTTTGACCTCACCTCCTCTTCGTCCATGCCCACCCCGTTTCGAAAACAACGCGCGTCGCAGGAGTCGGTGGGCTGGTATATGCAACAGGTGGCCCAGCCATCGGAGCTTGGTGCTTGAGAAGACGGTGTCGAGCGGTTCATTTCCTCTTCCTGGGCCATAAACAAGGCGTAGAGCACGGTGGTTGCTCACGCGGTGCTCCCATCAGACATAAGCTAAACTGCGAAGGCACCGAATGTCAAACGTAGCTAGTCTCTTTATCTCTGTCGACTTGATAAACCAAGTTTCGCAACTTGACAGGAGGGCTGTACAGATGGCTGCATTGTAAACTGTCCCCTTCAGAGCGAGAATAATAATTGCACGGCGGCATTACAGATGGCGGATATTGGCAAAAGCGCATCGAACTTTTGCTATACGGTTCTTGATCCCATCTTCCGTTCCACTGACGCTTATATAGCTGTCAAGATAATTGAATTTCTTGGCGACTTCTAAATTATTACCGCCAAGAGTCAGCGTAGGAGTGGATTCCTGCCAATATTGGAGAAATTTGCATTTCGATGATGCACAGCATGGCCCGAAACGATTGACAGTCATAGTTAATTTATCCAGTGCAGCTTGGCACTTTAGGGGCTGTCACAGATGTGCGCAATGTTGTCGGCATACTTCAAGTCGTCGGTCACCAGGGAGTAGCTCCACATCTAAGTCGTGCCCCCTCTTTTTATGACTTTGTCAATGGCGACGTTAAATAGTAAACCTGACAGCGGGCGACCTTGTTTCACACCGCTGGAAATATTGAAGGGCAGTGACAGCTTGCCGTAAACCTTCACTCCACCCGAACTACGCGCGTACAGCGCTCTTATGGCATATACATATTTATTGCGCACACCTTTCTTGAGTAGACAGTCTCAAATTGCACATCATTCAACCGAATAGAAAGCCCCTTTGATGTCTAGGAACAAGGCTACGGTAGGTCGCTAACAAACATGGCGGTGCTCCTTCAACTGACGTAAAGTAAAGATGTTGTCAATGCAGCCTCGATTTCGACGAAACCCGGCTTGCTTCTCGCATATCTGGCCTTCACGGATGTCAGTCAGTCTATGGAGGACGACAGACGCAAGCAACTTAGAGGCAATGTATATTAGACGGATTCCTCTATGATTGCCGCATTCGAAACGGGAGCTCCCCTTGAAAATTGGGACCACAACGGGGCGGCACCAGTTTGTTGGAACAGTCTGCTTTTTCGATAGATTCGCTAGTAAGATACGTAAATCGTCCTAGAGATCAGAACCCCCGGATTTGAAGAGGGATGAATGAAATCCATTTGCTCCAGCGGTCTTAGTTAAGTGCAGCCGTCTGATCTCACTTTCGATTTCTGCGTTCGAGGACGCATCCAAGGGAACGGCCCAGGGAGAAGCGCGCTAAATGGCCGATGGCGGAATTGACGACTCTGACTGATTAAACTGCTTCCAAGAATGTTCGGCCCAATGCTCCAAGCGTTTTGACAAGTTGTGGATCGGCTTCCCATTCTCGTCACGTATCGTCTTGCTAACAACAGTTTTGCTGTTGTCGGCGAGCATCCAGTTCCGGAGACTGCATAAAGACCCAATGGCCAGGTTGGAAATTTGATTTACCACAGAAAGACATGTCTGGAGCTAAGAATGTCTGGCGGATATTCGACCAGTGATCTTCAGCTGTGTTCAATAGGCGTTTACTCAGCTCAGATGCCAACGTACTTTGATAAGCATTCAGAACACCTGCCTTTGCCAGCTGGCAAATATCCATGTGTTCACAGGGATGTTGCAAATGTCTACCGAAAAGCACCAGTACGTCGGCACAAACAAATGCCTGGTCATAGTCCACGCTCGTGCTCCAAATCGAGCGACAGTTTTGAACGTATCCACTCCAGCAGTAACTAATGGCATTGTAATCGATTTGCGTCCATGGCTAGTCCGAGGCTGGTGGGCACCATGTCACCCTCTAACGGGTGTTGTGTCGGAAGTTAATGCTTTTAAGAAAGAGACGAGCCTCTTCACACAGGTATAGCAACCGCTCACTGTTATCATTACGTGAGCATACACTTTATTGACCGTCCAGATGAAGCTCATCAGTGGACAGTTTTCTGACTTGTGCACTCAAATCAACAGCAAGTATCACAATATCCGTACTTTTTCTGTGACGGCGGAGCGCGTTTAGTTGGTGATAAAGTCGTCTTTCACCGAGTCAGCGCTGCATTTTGTGGACGCATAGGCTGCGTTGACAAACAAGCACCGTTGGTCCCCATGCAATTTCGATGCTTTGAACGAGCCAGCTAATCCGACAGCGCACTTCCGGCTGTTTATTGGGATCCAATCGATCAAGGCAGTTTAGCCCGGTGGCTAAGAGCTATGCCCACACCGGCTTGACCTGCACTTGAAGGCGTTTCATCTCCGGACAACGCAATGAGAAGATACCGCCAGTGTCGCACGATGATGGTAATCACAGAACTCGAATCCTGCAGGTGAGTTTCTGACAAGCAGCAGACATCGATATGTATTCTGAACGTTTCCGAAATTATAAAATCCCATTCGATTTCAAGCTTATTCCAGTTATTTAATTGTTTTTCGGACCTTGCGTTCGAAATTTGGCGAGTGCATTCGGCCAATTGACTGACGTTGTAAGGAATTGGGATAATCACAGCATCTTCAGTATCCTGTGTCTCGAATGTGGGATTATTCCTAGCAGCTACGTAGACAAACCACATTACATCTTATACATCTACCATAGTGGCCTCCAACACATGCAGAGCAATTCTAAGACAACGGATTTATCTGGTAACCAGACACTTGTATGAATCCTGTTTTCATGCCGATCAGCGGTGCTGGGAGCTGCAGACCGTTGTGATGCAGACAAACTACGGGAGAATTTCTAACAAGGCTTCAGACGTTATATCAACTCAAGGAAATTTGCGAAAGTATGACCGATTTGTAAGTTTGATCATTTAAGGTCTGTACATATCAGGGCCACCGGGCTCACGGATTGGTCCGAATCCCACTGGAACTGTTGCAATATAGTAGTATGTCAGCTAGGGTGTCTATGAAACAGAACCTAGACTGTTGCGAATAAATTGCAAATAAAGGAAAGATGAGTGCAGCATTCTTCCCTAAAATTGAGACTAGTGACAAAATTACCTATTCCTTATAAGACCTGGTACCGAGTGGATTCCAGAAGAGGACGCAGGAAGATAGCAGCAGATGTCAGCGCTCCAATGGTATTGAGGTTATTGTAAATTAAGCTGGGAATTTTAGAAGGTTGGTACTTGGGATTGCGGGGGGAGTAAGAGAAACAGGTGGAAAGGAATGAAGTGAGGTGTCAGCAGTAGCATGTTTTCGCTTATCCGCCCTGCTGTATGCGACAGATTGGTGAAGCTGCGCGACGGCCGATGCAGAATGTGTGGGAGGTTTGTAGAAATAGCACTGGTTGAACTTGTGCTGAGATGCTACCAGGGCGCGCAAACATAGGGTGGATAACCATTAGGGTCTGCAACCAAAACTTTTGGTTCAAAGAACTATCTGCAAGGCTTCGGTGTGATGACAGCTATCCTCGGGATCCAGGAGGCTGAGTTCTTCTGACCTCTAATTATTGACCAACCTTGCAGGACTTGGGTGCACCACCCAGTATAGTTTAATGAGTCACAAAGATGCACTAACGGTTGCACCAGGTTAAGGTCCCGTCTCGTTACGACTGTAGAACAGTCACTTTCTCTCACATATTCACTAGTAAGTTGCGCAAGTCATTTACAGAAGCTAGTCCCCCGACTTGGAAGAGGGCTGAAGGAAGTCTCTCTGCTCCTGCCTCCTCATTCATTTTCTACAATCTGATCTCACATTCCATTTCTACTCTTGTGGGAGGATCCAAGTCTGGTAGAGAAGAAGTTCACTGGTCGGCGATAGAGCTGACAATACTGGCCGATTAAATTGCTTTTCAGGGTGCTTAGACCTACGCTGTAAATGTTTTTAAAGCTTATGGATAGACTATCCCCTCTCGCCTCATATATTTACCGAAAAACCAGGCTTTTGTTGCACGTCTCCTGCATCACTCGCAATAGTGTCCGACGTTTACCTCCGACGCACGATGAGATCACGTTGATTCGCGGTCTCTTCAATCTTGCTCGTAGCTTTGCCCTGATATCTTTGCGAGTTTCGTTGTATTCGCTCCCAGCCGGAACGGGTCAGCTACCATCACGAAATTCCGGAGATTGCGCAAAGCCGCATTGTCTCGGTTGGCACTGATTTACTACATGAAGACATATCAGCTCTTAATACAGCACAATAGTTGTGGTGCTTTCCACCTCCAGCTAACGTGTCTAATGATGAGGTTGGACACACGACCAGAGCTCTTCAACTATGTTCAGCGAGCACTTGCACTACCCACATGACAGCATAGTTTGATACGCATTCAGAATAACTGGATTTATCTGACCTATACATGGCCATAGTAGAACATAGCCTGTTCCACACTGGATGAAACTACTCTTTGAACCTTGGGACTGTGTAGCCCACCCTTCCTAGCAACGATTATCAGCTTCCTAAGCCAGTCGTCATGGGAATGACGGCATTGAACTGCTAGGCACCTTTTCAAAATTCGCATACATCGCGGCCGCTTCTGCGATATAAATCAGTAAATGCACTAATGCTTACGATAACATTAACCCGCCGGCGTATGTGCGGTCCAACTGCATCGACAATGCAGTAGACGTGCCAAGTGTCCCCTTTCGCTGACACTTCACCTTTTGCTTCTTTGGTATTGGTCCTTCTTGGCCACGTTGATGACTAACCGGACCGGCTTGGCTGATGCACACACACATCAGTTTGTTCTACTACACCAGGTGCATAAAGTCGACGCCAGAGCTCCATGGATATTTGTATACCAAGGCCATCATGGGTAGCCTTAAAAATGTTATTCGCTTTACTACTACCATATTTGCCATCAGCTGACTGTTTTAGTTCAGTCCACAATCTAATCGATCCGCTTTCATTTCCCCTCACCTTGCTCATATTTTCATCCGGTTTCAATTTCGATTCGCAGCCATGGTTTGTCTAGCTCATCACCAGGCGCGAAATTGCTGCCCTCGTGAGGAGCAGGTGATGCGTTACCGTTACGATCTTGACGAGCTATCTGAATCTATTGCGAAACTTGAGGCTCATTTGGATGATTACCACCAATGGCGGACGACTATTGAAAGCGCTGTTCAACTGCCAATCACCGGTTCCATCGCTAGTGACACTACTTCAAGCAATTCAACGCAAACACATATGCAGTCGACTTGTCTTGACAAGGTGGAACTGTCAGATGGTTCAACCTACCTCAAGTCACTAGATCGAAATGGAGCACCTGACTCGAACCAGCTTCCTGGTGAGTGTATTTGCTTTATCTAAACCACAAGCATGCCGGTCCATGATGTTTTCGTGTTCACTTTCAGCTTTCACCAACCATTTACTCAACGTATTTAGCTGTCGTTGAGATGTTTCACCTAGATCTTCGCCGTGAATGTTTCTTATTCATCCTCAGGTCTGTGTGGGTGACTAAGGGTTCGCGGTGTAACTTTGTCAGCATCTGATCATCTTAGTAGATGAAGCTTCGTTAAATTGGATATGTGGTTGAGGCTTGTTTTCATTGCATTGTAATCGTTTGCATCACTGATCCACAAAAGAAGGAGTCGCTTGCTCATATATCACCCATCCATTATCGCACAATTTATGGAGGTCAATTGCACTGGGTAGCAAAGTCATTTACGGCCCGAAAATATTTATTTATAAATTTGTCATTTTATGCGTTACCTTCACTTTCAAAATCTCTTAATCGAATTATAACTTATTTCATCCACTAACGCACGCTGGTCCGCATTCTCGAGCTCTTTTTTGACCTTGTCACCCGAGCAACCCGGTTGATTTCCACTCCAGCCCCCATTCAACTAGCGGCAACTCTAGGCGGCCGTTTAATTCACCCATTTTCGCCACCGTGACCGAATGGTTTGGCTCTCTATGAAACTTCAGTCACCTAAGAGGACCGCACGCAAACAACATACGAAACAACTGCCAGCGGTGTTACTGTGGTGGTGCTGTCAAAACATTATTGCTTCACTTGTGTCTCATCATTAATGTCTGAAAAGTGTTGCCCATGTCTATCTCTTTCTGAGTGAGTGACACTGCTATCCACTGATTAATGTTTAGCCTCAGATCATCTCGTTCCTCTCTGGATCCTCTGTTAAATCTGAAGGTCCTTGTGGTCAAACCACGTCGTCCTCATTCTTGTCCACAGTACCCAACGTGACGCAGCCGGTGAAGCAACGATGATATCGCATTCATTTGCTTGCCTCCATCTACCTGTCCTCCAACCATTCTACCTTATAAAGTTCTTTTCAACCAATCTATCTTTTGCTGTTCCACCACCTTTTTCTACTCTTGGCCTTAATATCATGGTGTCGAGTGTAATATTTCTGTGGTCCGGCGTTCCAAGCTTTTCCGTGTCCAAATAGTACGATGGGACGTAATGGACTCTTAGAGTTGTAACACAATAAATATCTCGTAGACTGCTGGATGGTAAGCCGCCTAGTAAGAGGCCGATGTAATGGAGGCAGCTAAAGAAGCATGGAAGAGGGAAGGAAAGAGTGCTGGAGAGAAATCCAAGGGTAAGATTAAGAGGAAAAAACACTCCTCGACTTCTTACCTTCTAACGTGTTACCGTGGCGCCCGCAGACCGGCTACAGTGAGCATCAAGCTCCTCACTTTCATGCTCGAGGAAAGTTGTTTACCTGAATTGAATGTCTTTTCTCTGGTGGTTTCCTATCGTTCTCGCATAGTTCCTTGGTCTGGACTTTTCGTAATCTTCACTTTGATCTCCTAGCGATTTATAACGGAAACAGTGCATTTGATACAGTTAGTTGCCGATGAATAGTTCACTAAAGTAGTCCTACTTAACTTAATATCGGAGAGCTTCGCTGTACCGTTGGCCGGTTTGGCCGTTTTTAGTGCTTATTGTCATTTACTCGTGACTATTCAAACTTTAATTGTATATAATGCAAACTTTTTTTGTCTAATTATCTTTCACCCTTTCACTCCCTGACCAGTGTTCCACTTGTTTAGGCTTTTCCAGTGACGATAACATAAGGCGAGAATCCAGACTGAGATGTCGTTATGAACCATTAGGCTACCAGCTCCCAGGAGCTGCGGTTTTGATAACGGATGAAACTTCTTGTGAACTTTTCGGTAAATAAGCCTAAACTAACTGCAGAGGAAATTATTACTAGCCTTGAGACCGTGATGACGAAACTACCAGTATCAACAGCTGGGAATATTCGTGCACAGATGGTAGACATCATCAGATTTCAGAAGCCTGGGGAGCCAGAGCTTACAACAGCGGGGCGTACCGCATTAAAGGCCTTAAGAGAAGATCCCACCATCATCATCACGAAAGCCGATAAAGGCAAGACCGTAGTGATAATGAACAAATCGAATTATGTGGAAAAAATGGAACGGCAATTAGTATCAGGGCCCTACGAAGCAATTGAGAAAAAATCCGTGTCGTCCATAATGAATAAATGTTAAACAGGGGTAGGAAACTACCTGAGAAGTGTGAAGGACAACCTAGGACCGGTTAAATGGTTTGGCGTATATCCTTAATCAAAGATTGCATCTAGGATCTATGGGCCGCCGAAAATACATAAGCCCGAAGTTCCCGTTCGGCCCATTGTAGATGGTATCGGTTCTCCAACGCACGAACTAGACCGATATTTGGCATGTTTGTTGCAACCTCTAACAGGGAGAACAAATACGTTCATACGAAACTCTTAAGAGTTCGCGCGAAAGATAGCAGGTCTGGCCATCGGGCCAGACGAAACAATGGTTAGTTTCGACGTTATCTCCCTATTCACTAACGTGCCCAAGGATGACGCATTGGGTATAGCACAGTGTTGTCTTACTGAGAACAATAGCCTGGAGCAACGAACGAAACTCACGGTAGACCAGATAATCGGTGGAATTAAAGTATGCCTTAATATGTTATATTTCACTTTCTAGTCTAGACTGTACTCCCAGAAACAGGGACTTGCCATGGGGTCATCAACATCCCCCGTATTGGCAAATCTGTATATGGAAGGCTTTGAGAGAACGGCGTTGACAAACTGCAGTAGTTCGCCAAAGATTCGGTGGCGCTACGTGGATGCTACGTTTGTGATTATAAAGCGAGATATGAAGGATGCGTTTCTAAACCATCTGAACATCATTAATGGCAACATACACTTTACCATGGAACTAGAATTTTGCAGTGGCACAATGCCATTCCTTGAGTGGCTAGTTCATAGGAACGGTGGACGGTTAAAGACGATGATATATCGCAAGCCGACAGAGACGGACGGAGTGCTTCATTACAGTTCGGGTCAGCCAAAACAAGTCTATGTCGCTATCGCATCATCTCTGCATCACAGAGCCCAGACTCTGTGTACAGTGGAAGAGGACTGGAAGGCTGCTCGTAAGGAGACGGTGAGCAAATTAGTAGACAGTGGATGTCCGAGGTGGTTAGTGAGACGCCAGTTGCAGAGAACTCTAAATCCACCTCCGCGACACACAACCGGGTGGATTGGAACAGTGGGAATCCCCTATAAAAAGGGAATCTCAGAAGCAATCAGACGAGTACTAAACGGGGAGATAAGAGTGGTTTTTCGAAAGGGTTAAACGCTCCATTCAGCACTTGTGCGTTTGAAGGATCCGCTTCCAAGAGATAGGACGACAAATTGTGTTTATAACTTCAATTGCAAAGACTGTGAACACGTGTACAGAGGTCAAACAGCGAGAGAGCTACGCACGAGGATAGGAGAACACAAGAGGTACGTTTCGCGTCCACCGAGAAATGAGCCTGAATACAGGGCCCTAGTAAAACATTCAGCGGTGGCCGTACATGCGCTAGAGGCAGGACACGCGATTGATTGGGACAATGTCGAGATACTTAGGAGGGGATTACCAGCAACAAACCAAAGGTTGATTGCTGAGATAATCGAGATTACTAAGACTAATAAACGAGGGAACGGAACGGAGGGGGTGGAGTTATCGAACACGTGGCGGGCTGTGTTAACCCGGTCAGTCGGAAAAGGTGTCGGCGGACGAACTCAGGTCGGAGCGTGAATCAGCAGCTGGAAGAAAGGAATGCCTCACATGTGAACGGCCGGCGTTTCTCATTGAGAAACGCTCGATGCTTGTTGTATCACTAGAATGGCCACTTGAACTATTGATCTGTAACACTATTATCCAATGGTACATGTTATTTCTTGTAATCTTCCCCTTACTTTCCCATAAAAAGCTAAGCCAATTGTGTACCGATTCAGCTGGCCTAAAGAAGCTCTTGCATCAAGGGCGAAACGTTGCCATAATAAACCCCACAAAAACCGATTTGTATTCAAAACCTTCTGAAATTCATGTGAACTAATTCAGCACTTTCCTTCAATAATGAAACTTGTTTTGACTTGCTAGGAGCGGGCACGGTAGAAAGTAGCATGCCAAGGAACTTGAAATTAGCCAAGCTGTTCGCTGTACTCTGCGAATACATGCATCGCCACCAAACATCCTTCGTGTGCATTTTGGTTATTCGAGCTTATTCTGACAACGCACTTCACAACTGTTACGTCTTCACTTAATGCATTTTCTCTACATTCTCTGATCTAATAGTTTTTTATTTATTGTTTTATTCTTGTGCGATGTTGTGTACTCTTCTATTAGCATCACAGCAAGAATCTGAGTGCAATGTAGTGGCCAACTCTAACTCGCTGTCTTTGGTCGAACTACATGTAAGTCCCTATTTCTTGCACACTCTGTCTTAAGTTCTTTCTATGACTGGGCATTTTTCAGTTACATATGACTTATTTGTTTGCCTGTTTTCTCATATCTGATTTGACCTACTCCATGTTTACGCCTTCAATGAAGTTACTAAACCCCCTCATTATTATTGAATAATGAACTACCTTAATGTCATTCGGACGGCGTCTCGCGTCCCTATTGTCTGATCCATCCTTCGTGCCTTTCGCTCCGCTTTTGTTCCCTCTGAGAGGCAGACTGCTATTTCCTTGACTTAACTTATTCTCCCTTGGATAGTTATCGACGGCCGTATCGTCTATGTCTACCTTCACCTGGGTATCTGAATTGTCACTGCTGGTTCATCCCGCATTACACACAGACCCCAATTTCTATGCGCACTGTTCGGAGATGACCGACTCATCTCATCGATTCATTCTCTTGATCAGCATTTTGCGGCCATTTTTTGGCTCCATACCGTATGCTCAAGTGAACGTACTTGGCTGCATTGACTTCACCTAGCTAATCTTGGCAACACATCGTCTATCCATTCGCTGTAACCATTTAAAGCGAATACGCGCCCCCTGTAGGATTGGTGCATCTTCCTGCAATGTGATTATACACACCAAAAGTCGCTACGCTGGCTTTTGGTTGTAACCATCTTTTTCGGATTTCAAACAATCTTTAAACCTAGCTTTTTCATCAATTACAGACTGAGGACATCGTAAAAGTTATGATCTCATCCACATTCGCATTGTATGCGTGTCCATGCAGGACTTGCAGGGGCACAGGGATCTGGACATCGTTTGAGTGCTGGCGATGACGTGTAAGCCGTGCGTCTCAGCTTCAGTCGTTTAGTAGCTACAGTGCACTGTAAACCTAGTGCGTCACGCATCCTATATCGCTACGCGTGCGATGCGAATGCTGATCAGGTCGTAACTTTTACTATGTCTCTAGTCGAAGTATTTAATGACAAGGACAATATGAAATTCCGACAGGTCTCGTGAACGATTAAGGATATTGCAGGGTCCTGATAACTATCTTATATGTGTACACTTTTGTAGGCCAGAATACTAAGTGGCGCAACGAGTGGGAACGCAGGTGAGACACATGAATGCGCGTAGTTTGTTAGGATCATGTCGCTTCCGATTGTCCGTACGTCAGCCACTCATGACATTAAAACAATTGCCCATCACACATCAAGCACGGCTATCAACCAATAGCAACTGTTAACGTATTCTCAGCATCATTCATCTTTATACACGTTAGCTAGAGATGTAAAGCACCTCAGCTACTATGCCGCAATACCTAAAAGAAAAGGAAAATAAACACAACAGTTACACGCCAGCCGAGCTACCAGCAACGGATTGGCATCGTTCCGGAAAGCTACCAGCCGGCTACTACGCAACAAGAAAAATTATTATGTAAAAGTATATGCTACAAAATGAGATCGTGGTTGCAGGGGGAGGCTACAAGGGATGGGGAGAGACAGAGAAACTCACAGCAGGAACACCACTGAGGTCGACTCCTAGCAATGTCACCAAGTGTATCTAGCCAAACGTGTTCATCATCTTTTGGACCCCAACCAGGAAATCCTGAAGCTCCAACCGAGGCCAGCTCCGAAGTGAGGGCCTTCATTCCTCTCGACCAAGTCATCGCTTGGCCATCCCTTTCCTTCTTCCATCCACACCCCCAGTGAGCAAACAACGCACGTCGCGGGAGTCGGTGGGCTGACATGCGTAACACGTGGCCGAGCCATCGGAGCCTGGTGCGTGAAATGACGGTGCTGAGCGGTTCAGTTCCTTTTCCTGTGCCGTAAACAAGGCATTGTACATGCTCGTTGCTCACGCGGTGTTCCCACCAGATGTGAGCCAAACTGCGAAGTCACTGATGATCGAACGTAACTAGCCTCTTTATGTCTGCTGATCTAAGAGTCGAACGTATCACTGCATTGTACACTCTACCCGAGAGTGGTGTCGCGCTGTCGCCATAGGTGGCGAAGACTAGCAAAAGCACTTCGAGCTTTTGCTATACAGTTCGTGGTCTCATCTTCGATCCCACGGGCGCTGATACAACTTCCCAAGTAGTTGAATTTTTGAACTACTTCTAGCTGATCCCCACCAAGGGTAAGCATAGGAGGCGGTCCAAGCCAATCTTGGAGGAAAGCTTTGCACTTTGATGGTGCAAAGCACAGCCCGAAACGGCTCACAGTCAGTGCTAATCTGTCCAATGCAGCTTGGCACGTCTGGGAGCTACGGTGGGCCGGCAATGCGTGTAACGGTGCTCCAACAACTGACCCAAAGTCAAGATGTGGTCCATGCAGGCACGATCCCGATGAAACCCGGCTTCCTCCTCACGAAGCTGGCTTTCACGACCACCAGTCAGTCTGTGAACGATTATGGAGGCGAGTAATTTGGAGGCGATGGAGGTCAGACTGATTCCTCTATGGTTGCCGCATTCCGAACGCGAGCCTCCTTTGATGATGGGAACAATAACGGTGCGGCTCCAGTCGGTTGTGACAGTTTCCTACTCCCACAGTTGCACTAGTAATATGTGCAAATCATCAACGAGAGCAGAGCCCCCGAATTTGTAGAGGGCTGGATGAAGATCATCTAGTCCAGCGACTTTGTTCGACTTCAACCGTCCGATCTCACTTTTAACTTCTGAGCGAGAGGGCGAATCCAAAGGGACAGCTCACGGAGCAGCGCGATCACTGACCGGTGAGGGATAGAATACTTCCGGCCGATTAAATTGCTTTCCAAAATGCTCAGCCCAACACTCTAAACGTTTTGACAAATTGTGGATGGGCTGTCCACTCTCGTCACGTATAGTTTCACTAACACCAGGTCTCCTGCTGCGTGTTTCCCGTATCAGACGGAATAACTTACGATGGTTACCAAGGCAGCGGCCACCCATCTCTGATGCACGATAAAACCACCATTATTCTTGATCTCTCTTCAGGCTAGCACGGAGTTTTGTCCGGAGCTCTTTGCGAGTTTCGTTGTGTTCGCTTCCAGCCGGAATACGGCGGCGAGCATCGATAAGTTCCAGAGACTGCGAAGAGACCCAATGTCCATGTTGGCGATGGGACTCACCACATGAGGATTTGCCAACTGCTAGTAAGATCTGGTGAACTTGCGATCAGTGACCTTCAGTTGGATCTAGTGAGCGCTTACACAACTCGCATGACAGCGTACTTTGATAGTCTTTCAAAACAGGTGGCTTTATCAGTTGACTGGTGTCAAAGCGCTCACAGCGTCGTCGTGGGCGTCGGCCAAGACGCATCCGCATGTCAGCACATGCATGTGCATGGTCAGTGTCTACACATGTGCTCCAAATCGAGCGACAGCTCTGGATGCATCTTCCCCAGCGGTAACTGATTGCAAAGTGATCGATTTGCCTCCAAGGCTGGTTCGAGGCTGGCGGGTGCCAAGGCACCTGCAAGTGCCGTGTCGGAGTTTAGTGCTCGCAAAAAATAAGCGGGCATCTTCATACAAAAGAAGTAACCGCTCCCCGTTATCATTACGTGAGCCTAAACCATGTTGACCGCCCAGATGCCACTCGTTAGTGGACAGTTTCCCAACTTGAGTTCTGATTCTCAGCCGGCACAATAGTGTCCGTGCTTCTTCTGTGGCGAAGGAGTTCGTTCAATTGGCGGTAGAAGTCGTCTTTTACCGAATCATCGCTACAGTTTGTGGGCGCGTATACAGCGATGATGAATAGACACCTATAAGTCCCACTCGACTTCGAAGCATTAAAGGAGCCAGCCACTCGGACCGCACACATCCGGCTACTGATTGGAATCCAATCAGTCAGAGCAGCTTCAGCCCGGAGACTCAGGGCGATAGGAACACCGGCTTGGTCGGTGCTCGAAGCTGCATCGTCACCGGATAGGCGCAAGGAGAAAATACTGCTTGCGTCACCTGAAGGGTATCGCATTGAGCACAGAGCTCGAGTCTTACAGGCGGGTCTCCGATAAGCAGCAGATATCGATGGAAAGGATCTCTAATATTCGGACAAATGCTGTCTGTTGACCGATCTGTAGCAATGTGCGTACATTGAGGCATGTCAATCTGAAGGAGGATCGAGCGCTCTAACTGGAAGCCGATGAACTGGAGTAGACCGCTTGGGCTTGTCGACCGGACAGAAGGGACGCTCCGCGTTAGCATGAGTTGAAATTAAAAGGTACAAGCCCATCAAACCATGTTGGTGAGGGCCGAGAATTGGGGGTTAAAAACAGGGGGGATAAAAGTGAAGTTGGAAGGGGACGGTAAGCGTGAAAAAGCGTGATAATGAATAAAGAGATGAGTAGGCTTGAGCAGTAGCATCCAACCCTATCCACCCTGCTCGATGCAGCAGATAGGGCACCGTTGATTATCCTCTGCGGTGGCCAAAGCATCAGGAATTTGTTTGAAGAGAAGTCTCTTGTATTGCGTGTGCAGGATACTGTCACGTTGCCTAGGCCTAGACAGGAGAACGAGAGGTCTCAACCAAAGTCTTTGCTTCAAAAAGCTGACAGCAAGGCAGCGGGTTTGGCGTTGGGCTACAATTAATCCGTTGTAAGAAATAAGGTGCCAACCTCATTCCAACCCCCAACCTGAACGACCAAGAGACTGAGTTTGTCTAACCTCTAACCATTGACCAATCTAGTATAAGTGGCTCTGAAGGTGCAAAAGCACCACCTAGCATAGCTCATGCATCACTGAGGCACACAAACCATCGCACCACGTTAAGCTCCAGCCTCATTGCGATGGATTAACCTACTCTACTACAACTCCTCCAATTTTTCACATTAGGTAACCCTAGATTGCAGTACGGCTTGACGAGGACATCAGTTCTATCTATGTGCTGACCTCAGATTACTAAGCCATGAAGCGAGCAGCAGTGTATCGGGGCACATGGTCATCATTAATCTTACCCACATGACCCATGCGCACATGCGAACAACCGGGGAACGCGGTTTACTTGCACTTTACAGTGACACGGATACACGGTA